CGCGGCACCTGTGGCTCAGTGAGTAGGGCACCAGCCCCATATACCAAGATTGGTGGGTTTGAACCCAGCCCCGGCCAAACTGTAACAAAAAAATAGCTGGGCTTTGTGGTGGGCACCTGTAGTCCCAGCTACTCGGGAGGCTGAGGCAAGAGAATTGCCTAAACCCAAGAGTCGGAGGTTGTTGTGAACTGTGTGATGCCAAGGCACTCTACCAAGTGATAAAGTGAGACTCTGTCTCTACAAAAAAAAAAAAAAAAAATTAATCTAAAAAAAGTAAAAACAAAAAAATGTAAAGGCCTACAGGCTGATAATGCTTACTTGGGCATCTTCAACCTTCTTCCTGCTTACAACAGGAGCATCTTCTAATCTTGGGGTGAAGGATAATGGACAGCTTGGGTGCCCAGAACAGCCCTAGGCACAGACCCACCCACCTGCCCTCTGGCCAGGGCCTGAAAAGGGCTGTGTTGCCCAGGGGACCAACCCTCCAGGTGACATAGCCTCCATGTTCCTATCATGTCCAGGTAGTACCTCCACATCCAACCAAGAAGCCCCCAGCAACTGGAGGGGAGGGGCTCAAAGGCAGCCCCTGGTGTGAGAGCTGATCCAGCTGGAAAGTTGCTCCCACAGAAGCCAGAAAGAGGATTATTTGCAAGCCAGACATATTCAGTGATTGTTACAAGTGCTTCAGATGAAAGTCCCTCTCCCTCCTCCCGACACTGAACAAACAGGTTTTATCTCCAGGAAGATCAGGCAGGCAGCGTCTGCGCCTATAAAGACAGCAGTCCCACTCAGGAAAACCCGAAACCTGGCCTAGGCTCCAATGACTGACCAGAAACCCCCTGCTATAATTTACTTAGGAAACCCACATCAGGGTCGCCTTGCAGAGGCTCAGAGGACAGGCCCGGAAGGTGGGGAGTCCCTCCCCAATTATAACTATAGCCGGAACAGGCAGGTATGGCAACTGCCATGAAGACTGGACTGAGTGAGTAACCAGCTAACCAGCACCTGCGGCTGGCCAACCAAGGCCCAAGGCACACGTTCTGCTGGAGGAAACTCAGCCTTCCTGGACCTTACATATCAGGTTTTGACCCCCCTTTCAAATCCACAAAGTCTGGTCCTCACCTTGGAGAAAAACAAAACCACAGGCTGACAAGGATGTCCTGACCTCCTATCTCACACAGAACAGACTGCCCCTTCACCCCAACTCTGGATTTTAAAGTTCACCCACGGCACCACTATTTCCTTTACTTCAAAAAACACCTCTGTCAATTTACTATCACCCTGAGTCGCAGTGCTATTAAAAGGCACTCAGTATTCAAAAAAAAAAAAAAAAAAGCAACAATTAAATGCCCCAGACCCCCTACTCCTCCTCCCATCCCCACTCTACAAAATGTCCAGGGTCTGACCCAAATTCCCCTGCCACATAGCGGGTAACTCTTCCTATCAAAATCAAAAGAAATTATCTTCGGCAGCCTAAAGAAATGGGACATCCTACTTAAATTAAGGAGGATTCTTGCATCTCAATTTCAGGGCAGAAGTAGTTCTAAACTAAGGCCTGTGGAGGTAAAGGGAGGAGGACAGATTCTGAATTGAGGGCCCAGCCACCAAATCTAACCACTGGAAACTCCCATGACAGCCGGAACTGTACAACTTGATGCTGACAGGGCTCAAACCTTTTGTTTTTGAGAGCTCCTGGCCTGTAAACCCTACCACCCAAGTCCAAATGATAAACTGACTGGGAGCTTCCCTTCAGGAGTCAAATAGTGCCTTCTGGTCTAAAACAGGAAAGAAGGGGAGGAGGCCCAGCGAGCATAACCAAGAAGCAAAGTTAGAAGTGCCTACCTTTGTACCAACTGCTATATCTGGGACAATGCTGTAGAGAGAGAGAGAAAAGGAGAAAACGTTAGCAAGGTACGCCACTCAGCAGGCAGGAAGAGGCCTGGAAGGACCAGCCTGTCTTGGGGCCAGGAGAGCCAGGAGGTTGCCTCCACCAGCCACCACTTCAGCAGCAGGGAGACTCCCTCTGGCTGCACAGGGACCCCCACTATCCAGAAAGCTCAGAAGAGCAGGGAAGTGAGCCATACACTTAACTTCAAATTGAAAAAGGGGCCACCACTGTCCTTTAGTGCCTATCCCTTCCAGCAGGAGGTATCCCAGGCTCCTAGGGGCCTGGCTGCACCCAAGGTCCAAAGACAAAAGATACTCCTTCGAAAGGTCCGGGAGGGATGCTAGATCCTTGTTAAATTTTAAGGGGTGTTGTCTGATTTCTATAAAACTGGAAAACCAAAAGACAGAAGGCAAACCCAGAGGCCCCAGGCAGAGCTTTGACCCCGGTGGGGGCGGGGTAGGTGCTCCCTCCAGAAGGTGACTCTCAACACAATAGTGGAGCTCAATCCACTAAGGACCGACTGGGGTGGCAGCTGAAATGATCAGTTAAAATTAACAGACCTGCCAGAATACAGTAACCCAAGTTACTAATCAACCCTGGCTCCACCCCACTGGACTTTCTCCCCTCCTCAGGAAACCTGGGAGGGCAGTGAGAAGACAGGGCTGTCCCAGAGTCACTGCAGCCGCTCACACCTCAACCGTGGGTCAGTTCCTAGAGCAAAGCACTAAACTTTATAAGGGCTGACCTATGGCAAGGGCCTAAATGACTCTGAGGATGTCCAGGAGGGACCCCCCCCCACCAGGCCATAGGTGCACACCTGCACCTGCCCAGTTTCCCGAAAGTCTGTCCCAGGTATTTTCAACTTCCTCCCGCCTTCAGGGAGGCCAGTTCACAGCGCTAAGCACTAAGCTGTGGGGGCTCGAAAACTTGGAGCCTCATCCTTGCGCTGCTCCTATGCATTCTAGGGGATTCAGATCCATTACAAGGGCTTCCGTTCTAAACTACAATGTGAAAGTCTACAGACTATATATATCTTAACAGAACTGTAAAAGTTATCAAGCCAAGTAAAAACTGAAAGAATGCAAAGCATCTCCAGCCAGGATCTCCTGCTTCCTAATCCCAGGGAGGTCCTATGACACAGGAAGTGCTTCACATAAAATGGCCTTTCTTCCAAGCCCTAGGAGAAGGTTCCCAACGACCGGCTCTCTGCTGGGCCCGGCGGCGGAAGGAGGCGCCGCGAGGGCCGCGCTCGGGGGCGACACAAACTCATCCCTGTTCTCCCGTGAGAGGCAAAACGCAAAGAACTTAGCCAAAAAGTCAGGAAAACCAGCAGCCCGTGAAGACATCCCCAAAAGGCCCCAAGCCACCCACTTGTCGCACCCTAGTTGGAAGTCTGGGGAGATAATCCCCAGAGAGGATCCCCTCACAACACATTAGATCTAATTCCGCCCAAAATCTACCCTGTAGGTCCCCGAGGCCGGAGCGCACGTGACTCGCAGGCATCTCCCCACATCCCGGGCGCGCCCGGGCTAGGCCGGCAGCTTCGGAGCCGCGCGGCAGGAAACAGACTCGCGCCTCCCAGAAAAGAACCAGGAGGCGCTGGGTGGGGACGCGGCCAGCCAGTTTCCTTCTTCGCGGACCTGCGAATTCCGCTCTCCTGCCCAATAACACGTTATTTCGTGGGGCCGTCGAAGCGCGGGCAGGGTCCGTGCGGCGGGAAAGGCGCGCGTCCCCGCTGAGCCGCGCACGCGCGCTGAGGCCCACCGGGCGCGCGGCTGGTCGCGCAAGCGCGCGAGGCGCGAACGGGAAGCGGGAAGGGCCAAAGGGGTGCGCGAGGGCCAAGCGGGAGGGAACACCGAGGGGCGCCGGAGGCCGCGCGCTTGGACCAGCACAGGGGTGCGTGAGGCTGCGTGTGCTCAGCAAGGGCCCTCTTCAGCCCCCGGCACTGCCGGACCCCGCCGCCCAGTTCCCGCGCGTGGCGGAGGGAGAGGGGCAGGCCCCACAGTCTCTCAGATCCGGACGGCGGCGTAATCGGCCAGGCGGCAGGGGGGACAGAACCGCAGCAGCGCATAGTAACGGTGGGCGCGGGGCGACTCACCCGTCCATGGCACACCAAGCGGACCCGCGGGGGACGGAGTGGAGGCGCTGGAATAGCAGGAACCGACCCAACGGCTCCGAGTTATAGACTCACAAGATGGCGGAGACGCCCGCACACGTCCCCCGCGAGCTCTTCCCATTGGCTCCCTCTGAGGCTGGGGGCGGGACAAGCCCTGCGAGTGCCTATCTGAGCCTGCCAATGGCCAGAAGACTAAGTGGGGGCGGGGCTAAGAAAAGTAACGGGCCCATACTGGGGAAGGCAGCTGTACGTCAAGGTTGAAGGCGGAAACGGCCTGCGGAATCGGGGGAGGGAAGAAAGGATGGGAGCACGTGATGGCGTTGAGCTAGTGAGGGAGCCGCCGTCTGGCGCGTGGCTTTGCGGGGAGAAGCCATCTTGAGAGTGGGTACGTGGCGAGTCAGGCTACGGGAAGTGTGCTTACCCCAGGTTGCCGCCATCTTGCAATCTGGCGGGGACCCGCCCGCCTGAGGCTTGAGAGCAAAGGGAGGTGCCTCGCCATCTTGGAGTCGGGCAAGAAACCTGCAAGGCTCCATCATGCTTGTGGGCATATGGCCAACAAGTAGGATTCAAACTGAGTATTTACTCTCAAATCGCCGCGCCAAGAGGTGGTGGCTGTAACGCGTCCCAGACCGTCTTTTATTCTCCAGAACTCCAAAGCCCAACTGTGTTCCCCTGTGCTAACTACAAGGATAGGGAAACTGAGGCCCAGGCCATATGCAGTGTACAGCTACCCATATCCTACAGCTGAGAAACTGAGGTCTGGGCTGCGCCCAGTGGACTCTTGTCCCCACCCTGCAGGGGAAACTGAGGCTCGCGCCATCCACCGTGGACAGCCCTCCCAGCATACCTTTGGACAAACTGAGGCACAAGCAGCATGCAGTGAACAGCCACCTCCATCCTACAAGTGGGGAGATTGAGGCCTGGGTCGCAGTGTCACCAGGAGCAGCTGGATGTGCACCTCCAGGGGCCTCCATCCCAGCATCAGGAAACATCCTAAATTAGTGTCCCTTAGACTGCTGACTCCACAAAGAATCACCAGGGCCACCAAGGGGGACAAATGGGCTGGGGTGCCTCTCAAGACAGGTGGCAGGTAGGCCGAGGCCAGCAGGGTGGGTAGGAGCAGGTCCCACGGAGGGCAGACAGGACCCTGCACCCCAATACAAAAGGGAACCCACTCGCTGGCGAGGCTGCCAGCCGGGACCACTTTGGATTATCAGGGCCTTGGCGCTGCTCCCAGCACAGAGACTAGACCTCAGGGAGGCCTGCATTGGGCATGTTGGTCTATCACCAGCTCGGCTAGCGTGAAGTCTCTGTAGGCGGGCTTGGCGGGGGGGCCCAGGAGCCTTGGAGCCCCTACCGCTCTGTCGCTGCTGCCAGAGGATTCCAGCCAGGATTAGGGGCGGCTGCCGATTTCCACGGAGGCCTCATGTGGTGAGGTCGTTTGGTCCTAGCAAGCCAGCCGCCCCGATCGCTAATGGGAATGTCCTGATGGATTTAGGAGAAGCCCAAAGGCGCATTTCCGTGGATTCTCTCTTCCAGTCTCCCACCCGGGAACCACCACGGCCAGCCGCTCTCTGAGGGGTTGGTGCCTAGGATGGGATCCCACCCTCAAAGCGGGTATAACAGAGCAGCCACCCCTCTCATGGATAGGGAAGTATAAATTTGAGAGTAGGAAATATGCAATGAGAAAATGGCCTGAAAAAATGGTAAAAATGTTTTATCTCTTTAAAACGCTTTTAGGGGCTCGGCGCCTATAGCTCAACCGGC